AACTACCCATGAACACCAGCCTCAATGGAGCACAGACCAGAACGTTCGCTATTAGCAGCTACATTGCTTGGTGACCTGAGAAATGTCTATCTGGATTCTTTCCTATAGAGGCAACCCAATTAGTGACATCCTATATCCAAACCTAACTCTCTCTGCACATTAGACAAAATACTACCAAACCCAACCTTAATTTGGAAGTAGTTACAGAGGGAGTTCTAAAGCACTGGCATAGAAGTGAATTTCCAGTGATCACCAAAGCAAACACATCCTGGGGCCAAGTGGTTGAAAAGAGAATTCCTAAAGTCACCTTTCTCTTTCCTGGCTAATTCCCACTGTGGGCAATATTCCTATAGAAGAAAAGGCTCAGATAGAAATCACTTGGGAATTTCTGACAAGAAAGGTATGAAGAGACAATACCACTGTGCAGTGTCAGGTGTGTGTGACAGGGAGTGGAGAAGAGGGAATGCTCCAGGAGGTTTTCACTAATTCCACCGTCCTCTCTCATCTTCATGCTATTCTGCCATAACAGTCATTTCTCTGATGCTTGAGAATCTCCTGTCCCCAAGTTTTATAACCCCCTTCCTCTGCATTCTCTTTTGTCAATGATCCACAATGTGGGTGCACCTCACATTTTAGTCAGTAAACAATCATAACCAGTAAACTACACCATCTGGCCTGGAACATTCTTCAGATACTGTAAATTATTAGCTTTCTAAGTGAAAAAATACTCCCCAAATTTGGTTCAACTAAAATGGTAACTTCCAATTTGCAAGATACTCCGTAAGAGTTGATGTTCAAGTAGTGAACGATAAGGTAACTTTAAAGTAAGATTTTAAAAGGTGAAGCTTACTCGTTGATGGAGGGTAGAAGGGTGAGGCACAGGGAAGTGACATGTCCAAAACATTCTAAATGAGTTGCATAAGGCTGAGGTAAGCTATACCTTTGACCCACCTCATTCTTTTATTATATCTAAGATTGTGCTGGTTTCAACAGCTTACACAAGGTATATTTCCACTCTTTTAACTCTCAACCAGATTAAGTGTTTGAATTGGCTTATCAAGTAGAAACCATAGCACTCGGGGCACATCCATGAACAGATTTATAAGAAACAACACAAGCAGATCAATTTAGCCCTTAATTGTTCCTATTAGGTTAAGAAGAAAAATACTCTCCCTCCCCAGGCTTTTAGTGGGAATTGTTATAAAACACTAACTTAAAAAAAAAATGCCACAATAACCCAATTTCAATGTTTTCAAATTTTACATAACCTATAATATAAGATACACGTAGCACTAAAGAGAGTAGGAGAGGAAAGTGAAGAAAATACAAATGCTCTAGATTTTTCAATACATAAACACAGTGGAAACAGCATATATTAAAAGAATTATATATAAGCAAACCTGACCATTCTTTTCAGATTTAAAGTTTGTTAAAGTAACATTACACAATTAAGTATCATGCTAAAAAAATAAATGCTGACGTATAATGTGAATCTCAAGCTTTGGTTACTTTGTTAAATTCTAGGAAGACACCACTCATGAGAAAGCAAAGAGGATGTGTATTTATCACTAACTGTTAATGACACATGAAACTAATCTGAACCTGTTAGGACATTCATCATTTAGCTTCAGGACACCCATCCTTTTTTTTTTTTTAATCCTCCCCTGAGGATATGTCTCTCTCTCTCTCTCTCTCTCTCTCTCTCTCTCTCTCTCTCTCTCTCTCTCTCTCTCTCTCTCTCTCAGAAAAGCTTTCCCCCGGCAGTGACAGTGAGAAAGGCAGTGACTGCACCCATTTTACAGCTTTCAAAACCCTTCCATCATTTGGTGGTCTCATGACGGACCTGGACCAAGAAGTCATACCGCACTCTGTGGTTCGAAATGAACACTTAAAGAATTGTGACAGGTATGTAACCCATTTATTCTGAGTTCTTGGAAATGATACAGACTATCTATCTGGGACTTCCTTTAGTGCTCACTGCATAATACTCCCCCTGCAAAGTCCTATTTCTTTTTTTTTTTTCTTTTTTTTTTCCCAGAGCACTGAAAAGAATACTGACTCCAAATAAAACCTTCAGGCATTGGAGAATATACAGCAGCTCTATTTTCTCAAAGGACAAAGAGAGGCAATCTGAGAGCTTCAGTTGAAAGGGGGTTCCTAAGGATTGTGGGTAAAGTGACCTATACCTCTAAGGTTCCAAAGTAAACTTCTAAAACCTCCTCAGAGGTAGACAGCCTTCAGAATTCTGTGAAGGTGAGAGTGGGAGAGACACATTTATTTAAATAATAAGCTCTAAAGCTTTTAGGTGGTTAAATTTTTTTAATGCAACATGACTGTATGAACATTCAGACATAGAAAAACCATAGGATGGATTAGAATCTGGGCAGATGACATAGTAATGGGAGTGCTGCAGCTCTTGAAAGTCTGTGCAGAGCAGAAATTAAGCAGGGACTCATTCAGGTTCCTATTGTCTGCATTCTTTCTGAGTAATCTGACTTAAAACAGTTTCTGTTTTAGGGATCATGAACACCTCATTCTGGAACTTAACCAGCTTATATCTAATCCTATGTTTACCGAATTCTAGACTAGGACAGGTCAAAGCCAATGCACGTTTTATTTCAAAGCCTCGACATGGAGTGAGCAAAGTACTTGTTTTTAAGAAAACTTTTGTTCCATCTTTCTAAGTAACACATTTGGAAATCTGGGTTTGCAGCAGTAACATATCTTCATCCAATTTTATGAATGTCAAAGGGTTTGATACACACACAGTTCTCTAATCTGACTCACAGAATAATCTTGTGAAATAGGCAAACCAAGGACTTTACAGATGAAGAACAGAAAGTTCCAAAGGGTTTCCTTTGTTGACCCAGGATCATAACTTAGAAAATGGAAGAACTAATTAGGGTTAGAAGGGTATCTGATCCTGAGATCATTGCTATTTCTAAAGAGCTATACCATTCTGGCCCCTCCCAAGCTAGTGTTCATTTTTTATCCCTCACCAAAACAAGCAACAAGATAGCAATGTCCATAACTTCAAGTATATAAAGAACACAGTACAGTAAGAGGGGTAAAACATTTTCCTCAAAATACAAGTCATGTCCCCATATGGTTTCAGATCTAGAAACCTTCTAAAATTATGGTCTACTATTCTTGGTCTTGTGTCAAGCTTACATAGAGAGCACAACTTTGCCTCAGAAAATAACAAAATTATGTTTCCTCTTCTTATGAAAGACCAGGGACCTTCCTAACAGCACAAGAATCACTAAATCCAGTTGCTCCACATTCTGAGGTTAGCACCAAAAAGTGAGATGAAACCCAAAGCATAATCTTTTCTGTTTAGTAGGGTGGGGGCAATGGGATAAAAGAAATTCAGTTAACTACTGAATGGATGAAGGCAAGGTGAGGGTGGGGGAATCTTTCTCCTTAACTTTTGGTTTTTTTTATGAGTGGCTCAGTGTTCTAAGGAGGGAAGAGTTTAATTCTTTATATAAAAATACCTTAATTATCTGTGAATCCTTGAGTTCAATAGGAATAAAAATATCCACATTAAATTCTTTAACTTCCCAACTCTGTTATCTCTGATGTTCACTGTGCTGTTACATTTGCACAACTTCCAAGTGAAAGACAGACAAGACTATCAAATAACTTCCACAGAACGTACGGGTCGAAGCAGGACTGACTTATACAATATGGCTAACTCTGATCTCTGGTAGCAAACACACTTTATTCTAGAAAGTCAGCCTTGTTATTTGAGGTCAGTGGTTTTCAACCCTGGAGACATACATTAATATGAGCTTTTACAAAGACTGTCCCCCAGTCCTGCTCCAAATCAATGAAATCAGAATCTCTTTAGAGTAGAGATGGCTGGTTCTAGGGGTGGGCTAGAATCAAAAGCCTCTGGTCTAAGTGGTCTGAGGAGGTCATTTTCGTATTTTCCTATGCAAGAAATAGTCCCAATACCAAGACTAACAGCCACCATGCTAAGAGACATCAGAATTTTATAAGCTGAAGGAGTTTATTACTTAAATATAAGCAAATATCCTTAATTTAACCACAAATAATACACTTAACAAATACTAGTCAATACAAACAACTAGAAAAGGGAAAAATTTTAAACCAGGAAATTATTTTTTTAATTTTTCATAACTTCATATAACTATGTAATGCTCATTAAGCATGGTTTAGGTATTAAGCCATATTTAATATGTTATCTTCCCCTGACTAGCAGCCAATCTTGTAAAATATTTGATTTTTGGAATTTTCCCATAGATAGGTTAGAAAAGGCAAATAAAGAAACCAGAAGTACAAGACATCCTATTACACAGGTATATGAAATAAGTTCAAAGGGGAGTTTCCACTGCTCAGAAGACAAAAGACTTCTCAGAAACATTATTGCAATCGGATTGCTCACTTCTTACTCAACCCGGTACTGCTGAAAAGGAGGTTGCTATGTTCCCACCTTAACTGCCAATCTGTTGTTCCTGTGACAGCTGGAGTCAACAAAGATAAGTTTGGCTTCTGGAAAAACCAAAATGCCAAGCTTCTTTATTTTTAAACCTGTTCTGAAACTCTTCCGTATTATCTGATTCTATGAATTTTGCAAGAGCTGCATATTAGTTAAAGCTGGAGAATGAGTAACTAAAACGGGTCTAAATTGTATGCTTAAGCAAACAGAAAAATAAAAACAAGTTTTAGGGAATTTTTAGGTCTAAGGAGGCTTAGACTAAAAAGTCTGACACCAAAAGATGCAAGAAAACCTAAAATAGATGTAATGTTCTAATTAAATGTGGGTGGCCTAACTGGGAAAATATTTAAGATTCCTACTCTATGAACTTCCTGATTAAGAAGTCATGAATGGCTGCTACAGGAAAAAATTAATGGCTGCTACAGAAAAAACTAATAAGGAAATAATAAAGGTTACGGAAGAATTTTGATTCTGTGTTTTTATTTCTAGGTCAGAGTTGTCGCCAAATATAACGAGGTGAATGGTATAAACTTACATGATTTATCGCCGACTGAACAGCCTTTACATAATGATTTAGTTCCCGATCCATCATAGCAAATTCAATCATTGCCTTATCCATACTGTATTCACTACTCACTTCAGCTGAAAGAAAGAAAATGCAATTATTATTTTCCATTTAAAATACCTTATCTGAGTGAAGGCACCAATGTAACATATATCAATCAATGTTCTAAATGATTTTGTAAAGGTATTACATGTTTTTTAAAACTCCTCAACAAATTGGTGCTTCATTCAAAATTCTAAGAATATACCCAGTTGAAAAAGGCTCAAAGGTGCCAAAACCGGTTTGGCTCAGTGGATGGAGCGTCGGCTTGTGGACTCAAAGGTTCCAGGTTCAATTCTGGCATGTACCTTGGTGGTGGGCACATCCCCAATTAGGGGGTGTGCAGGAGGCAGCTGATCCATGTTTCTCTCTCATCGGTGTTTCTGACTCTCTATCCCTCTCTCTTCCTCTCTGTAAAAAATCAGTAATATATATATATATATATATATATATATATATATATATATACACACACACACACACATATATATATATATAATTTATTTATTTTAAAAAAGGCTCAAAGGCAGAAAGGTAGACTCAGACTCAGGAGTTCCAGGCTCTGCCACTTACTCTATGATCTTAAACCAATCACTACACTTTTGCCAGCCTCAGCTCCCTTATCTCCTAAAGCTCCCCAGTCATCTACCTACACACTGACTTCACAGGACTGTTAAAGACCAAATAAGGAAGGTTTCCATGTCTAATAACAGTAGCTTAGGCTATGCAGGCCAAACCTCTTTTGAAGACAACTAAAACGACTGGAAATAAGAAATCTTCTTAAAAACAAAAGAGCCACGAAATAGTAAGAAATAACCAGGACAAAATCTGGGGGGAAATGAAAAAGTAAAGCGGAGCACCAAAGTCATGTGGTCAGCTGGGTTCCTTCCTCAGAATAAGATGAGCCGCAAGCAATCCCACCCTGTCCCCTGAGCAGAACCGAGGGAAGAGGGAGAGAAAGCCACCTGCTCTGAGACATGTGGCCACCGCCAGCCCTCCTCCGCCTGGGCCCCCCTCACCTGAGTGGTCCTGGGAACCCAAGAACTTCTGATCTTGGGGTGGTCCCAGAGAGAGGGAACCCACACATACTCTCCTCTGGAGAAGTCACTCATCCTCGGCCTCAAACAATCCCAATAAATGATCATTAAGGATAATGAACAGATTACAGGGGGAGGAGGGAACCTTATCCTAAAACACACAAGAAAACAAGCCCCCGAGAGTAAAAATCAGCAGAAACAGATCCATAAATGCTTCAGATGTGGGGATAATCTATCCTTCAGAATATGAAGCAACTACGCTTACTGTGTTTAAAATACCCTCAGGGAACACAAGACTAAACAGTGACCAGCAGACTGGAAAAGTGTTTTAAAACAGTTTTCTTAAGCACTAAACACAAAGGAAAAGAGAACGAACACAGGATAATAAACATGTGGAAATGCAGTCCCTCAAAGGCCCTTTATTCAAATGTTGGTATTTCTTGTCTACGCTGAAGAACAATATGACATATCGTCCCAAAGTCATGAAATAATAAAATCCACTTACATTGGCTTTTAAGAATGACTTTCCTAGTCTTTAACATTAGTCTTTAATTTTACAATAGTTAATTATAAACACACCCCATAAAATATATCCAGAGCTAACCTGCTTCTGGGAGAATACCTCTTGATTTGTAATATCTAGACTTTGATAAAATGTTGACCACCTTTTAAAAGCACTTAGTAATGTGCCTTTGACATGAAAATGCTGTGAAAAACTTTGCAAAGTAAAATAAACAGGATGATGATTCTTATTATCAAGGTCCCATGGATAATAGCGAGAGTTGAATCCGATAGCAATTTCCAATACAAGGCCGAGACCCTCTCTGTAAAGGAGAAAGTGAGCAATGGCTGGGTCTTTCATAGCATGAAGCCTAAGGGAGGCCAACTGGGACTGTAGACAGCCTCAGCTAAAGCTCCAGGGCCCAGGAATGCTGGGACAAGCTGAAGAGTCTACCTGATGAATGGCGCAGCCTGAGGCAACAGAGGGAAAACACCAGAAGAGGTCAGGAAGCGAGTCCTAAAAATAACCGAGAACCACACCACACCTGGAAGTGATGCCGTCAGATAACTTTAGGCTAAACCCAGTGTCTTGGTCTATTGCAGAGACCAGAGACTAAAGACAAGAACTAGCAGAGATTCTATAATGGTATCTGGGAGACAGGCCATGAGAATGTCCATATCAAGTTGCAAACCTACCTCTGACAGAGGGAGGAAGGAAGGAAGGGAGGGAGGGAGGGAGGGAGGGAGGGAGGAAAAGAGAGGGGGGAGGGAAGGGGGGAGGGAGGGAGGAACACCAATGACGAGAGAGAATCAGTGATCGGCTGCCTCCCATAAGCCCCATACTGGGGCTCAAGCTCGCAACCAGGCCATGTGCCCTGACTAGGAATCGAACCGTGATCTCCTGGTTCTAGGTCAACACTCAACCACTGAGCCACATTGGTCAGAGTATAACATCTTTTTTTAAATGTTATTTGGGTTCATGTTTCAGAAACACTAGGCTAGGGAAGACAAAGAATCTATGTCTTTTTCTACTAAAGAACTATAGAAAACGAAGAGCATATTGTTGCATAAAAAAAAAGCAAAAAGGCCAAATAAATCCCAAAGAATTCAAGAATTCAGAAGGGAAAAAAGTGATGAACAAATAAAAAGGGAGTTGGTTGTTGACTAAAAAAATGGTTGGGAGTAGGAGAGTGTGGAGAAACTGACCAGCCAGAGCAGTTTAATACTGCTCCTTTATTCCACAGTATATAATCCCACTATCAAAATCTCCCACTTATCCCACGCCTGACACCAAAAAACAAAAAAAGAAAACCCTCCCTAAAAATTTACCAAATTCTACACTGCACATCCTTCAAGGACTGAGCACAAGCCCTACTTGCTTTTACACTGTGTCAGCCTGGAAGGATATCGCTTAATTTACCACAACTTTACTTAATATTGTGGCACTTACAACCATAAATAATCTTGTCTTTTTATATGCATTCATCACATTTCTCCAAACAGATTATAATCCACTTATGGGCAAGAATGATGCCTTAGTGTTTGGGGGCTCCAACAAAGAATTATAGCACCCCTTTCTGCAATGTTGTTATATGGCCATTTAATTTAATAAATCTGGAAATTAAGCCTCTGCCAACTATAAATTGTCCTGCTCAACTATTCAATTGAATTAAAATATGAAGAAAACATGATAATATAGATTCATTTGCCTTTTATATTTTCATTGTGATTTTTCTATAAGGAAAGAGGCTGGCACCAATAAAGTGGGGGGAAGGGGAGAGAGCAGGAAGGAAGAGAACCACACAGATGATGTTAAAATTCACAGAAGGACAGTCCCAGAGAGGAGAGTACTTCTGCACCACACTCTGCAAGCCTGGCATTAGAGAAAATTGGTGCAGATGATAAAGCATGGACAGTAATGACAATGATGAAAAAAGTCTATAATAACAGTAGCTGTAGCTAACAATTAGTAAACACTTCATTATGTGCCAAGACTTATGAGGCACCATATTTACCTTAAGCCTCACAGCAACATGAAGAGACGGAGCGTTTTATCTCCACTTTATGTATGAGAAACTGAAGCACTGAGCGGGTGAAGTGACTTGCCCCAGGCAGAGGCCACCGCCAACTCAGGCTTCCTTTCTGCAGTTTGTACACCTGCCACCAACACGAAAGGTGCTTAAACACAGACAACCACCTAACTCCTCCAAGAATGTCTACCGAACAAACCCTCAGGAGAGGAAGTCAGGGCCCTGAGCTTCATTTTAGCTCCCGGTGATCCCTTCCAAGTAGGACAGTAGGTACTGCCACTCAAATGTTATTAGACCTGGTCCTGGAAAAGCTTTTCCAAATTCCTTAAGGAGAGGAAACTGATAAAATAATAGTTTCCCCTTTTTACAAGATTACAGTTGACTTTTGAACTACATGGGTTTGAAATGTACATGCCCACTTGCACACAGATTTTTTAAATGATTACTGCAAATGTATTTTCTCTTCCTTAAGGTTTTCTCAGTGAGATTTACTCTAGTTTACTTTATTTCCTTACAGTGTGTAATACATATAACATATAAAATGTGTGTTAATTGACTGTTTATGTTATTAGTAAGGCTTTTGATCAATGGTAGGCTAATAGTAATTAAATTTTGAGGAGTCAAAAGTACTACATGGGTGTGTGTGTTTTCCCATTGATTTTTAGGCAGAGTGGAAGAGAAAGGGAAAAACTGAGAGAAACACATTGATTGGTTGCCTCCTGTACAATCCCTGATCAGGGCCCAGGCCGGGGAAGAGCCTGCAACCAAGATACGTGCCTTGACCAGAATCGAACCCAGGACCCCTTGGTCTGCAGGCCAATGCTCTATCCACTGAGTAAAACCAACTAGGGCCAGTAATACATGGATTTTAAACTGTGTGGAGGTCAACAACCCTAACATCCACATTGGTCAAGAGTCAACTGTACTGTTTGTTTTTTTAATTGAATTTATTTGCATGACATAGGTTAATAAAATTATATAGATTCCATGTGTATAACTCTATAGTGCATCACCTGTATATTGTATTTTGAGTTCACCACCCCGACATTTATCCCTTTACTCTCCTCCCTCATCCCATCCCTCTTGCTCTCTGGTAATCACCATACATTGTCCGTGTCTGTGAGTTGTTTCTTACTTACTCCCTTCACCTTTTGCACCCGGCCCCGCAACCCTCCTCCCCTCCAACAGCTGTCATTCTACTTTCTGTATACATGAGTCTGTTAATATTTTGCTTGTTAGTTTATTTTTTTTCCCAATAGATTTTACATGTAAGTGAAATCATATGGTACTTGTCTTTCTCTGACTGGCTTATTCCACTTAGCATCATAATCTCCAGGTCCATCCATGCTGTTGCAAAAGGTAAGATTTCCTTCTTTTCTTTATGGCTAAGTAGAATTTCATTGTATAAATATACACAGCTTTTTAATCCACTCACCTACTGATGGGCACTTGGGCTGCTTCCAAATCTTG